AATAATAAAATAATTCTTCGTGAATTTTCGAATCAGGAATTAAAGATAAACTTTATCTGCACTTGTATTATCATATTAGCTAATATATAATAATGTACTTTATCGGATTAACGCACAATTAGCACATTTATTGAATAAAACTGTCTCAAAGGTATTGTGCCACGATTAAACATGATTCAATCCATTAAAACTAATTTACTATAATCCAAAAAGTTCACAAATTATTATTCTATTTATACATACACTTAAACTTAAAAGATTTTCAACTTAAATAATATAGAACTGACAAAACGAACCGTTACTCGTAACCTTGTAAAACATTAGAAACGTATGCAGGCCACTTCATATCATGTCAGTGCGCTTGTGAGGTCATGGCAATTTATCACTCGTGTTATGACAAATTAAACGAGATTTGTCGACGCAAAGCGATAGATTTGAATAAGAGGATTATATTGTGACCCAGCTTTGTATATGAATTTGGTTATAAAATGTCAAAAACATATAGACTATATATATTTTTTTTGTTCTGATTCAGTGATTGCAACTCTGTTCGATTATTCGTCTGGTTGATCATTAAAGGCCCACAGTGATTTAGGTATTATCTTCATATATTCACAACAAAAATTTACTGTTATTGTGAGTAAATACGTATAGATATTATGTTGAAAAAACTTAAAAAAGTGTTTTCTAAACTTTAGATTTTAAAAATAAAATTTCAACTGAATAATGTGGTACATAATTTTTCTAGTATTCCATAAATAAATAAAAATATATATTCATATACACTTTTGCGTGAAATAGAAAATATTCATTATAGTAATTATCTAACTTTTATCCTCATAATATGTTGGACAGTTTATTAATCCACCAATTTTAAAATAAATCCGAATTAAGTGTAAAGTTGAGATATTTAAAAATCCTAAAATTCAAAATGTCGAATCTACCTGCTGATAAAAACTAGTTTAAATGCAAATCGTTTAGGAAGAACAAAAGAAAATGGCAACGTAAAAAGTGGAAGTTTTTAAAGCCGTCTAAATTAAAGTCTTCGTGGAAAGACGTATTGATAAAACCTTATATCAGATAAGCGACTTTTTTACTGGTGTGATGCTTAAATGTGCACGGGTTTTTCACCTAAGCTATGTCAAGAATAATGTCATACGATTAGAGCGATACGTAGAGCGACACCTTTGATCGGACCCTCGACTTGGGCCACAATTGATTTAAAACTAATATATACATACTATAATCTATAACTATGTAACATCTAAGCTAAGAACTAGAGCAGTTTTGGCTTCGTGGCTTCAAGTGGCTTCATCCCTGAGGTCGTAGCTTCAACACCGGCTGCGCAACCGTGAACTTTCTGTCTATGGGCGCATTTAAAATTCACTCAAACCGTGAAGGAAAACATCCTGAAGAAACCGGCTTGCGTTAGACCCAAAAAGTCGACGGGGTGCGGCTGATCACCTATTTGCCTATTAGATTGACAAATGATCTTAGAACAGCACTGGTAATAATTATAATAATAACATCTAAGCTATTTCAGAAGGAAGAAGTATCGAAAAAAATCAAATAGACATAGGTAAAAGAGATATTCTAAAAGAAACACATACAAAAAATGTACATAGCAGCGATGTCTGTAATAACAGGTAAAAGTTATCATAATGTTAATTAGTAAAGGTAATGTTTATGAATTAATGAACCGTCTTATAATGAAAACTTGTTTAGATGTATAACGCCATTAAATTTATACGTGTTTATGATAGTATAGAGTTTAGACACAACTTATAACTGGGTGCTGTGAAACTTGTCTTGGACAGTTTTCCCAGAAAATGTCTGAGGAGTTGAAGCACGCCCCAGTTCTAAGCTTTTACTGAGAATCCGAAAACAACAAACTTATACTGAAATGGTTTAAAACCGCTAACAATATTATAAGTGTTTGTCTGTCTGTTTTTGATACGATTATGATATTTTCTTTCCGACTTTAAAGAGGAGATTTTCAATGGGTTTTTGTTTGATTTTTTATGTAGTTGTGTATTTCAAACATAAACTTATGTCATACACAACTTTATATAGCTTTGGCTCGATAGATGAAAACACTTATCATCTGCATTTCAATAACTCAAACGCTATCTAAATTATATTTGTCCTCAAGATAAATAATTATAATATGTTTTTTGATAACTTCCCAATAAATACATTTTCTTCGGAAGGTGGTAAAACATGCATTATATTTAACAGTTGTCATTGTTAAAGCTAATATATGAATATTTGAAAGTCAGCCAAAACTAAGTCAGAAATTTTAGACAAAGATAGGACAATGAACTTTGATACAAAAATAATTATTAAATCGTAGGCAATTTCTTTTCTGGACACTGCTTATTCCTATAATTAATGTATAAGTATCTTGCACTTTTTTCCATATGTTTGTTTTTACATTTCTGAAATCATTGTTGTGGCGAACAATAATACCACTCTTCTTTTCCACCGCGTCGGTGATTATACCGCTATGTGTGACGACACGGGCGCGGTGGGTGGAGCCTGCAGCCAGTGGCAGTGCGACCAGCGGACAGTGCGATCAGAACTATCAAACGCGAAACCTGTGCGCGAATTCATTTAATTCTCCCTTTGTGACTTATAATTAATTTATTCTTGTCTTAACGCTTTCTCTTCTCTTATTGTGCTTACAACTCTTATCATATTTTATTAACTTTGTTTCTTCTGTGTACGTTGTAATATATATATTTTTGACGTGAAGAAGTTTCCTTTGTCTTCCTACTGCCTAGCCTAGAAACTCTTATTATATGGTGCTCGCCTCTCGCGCACCTATATTGTAATAGAACTTCTATTCAGTTTTTATGAACGTTAGATTTGTCTAACATGGGTCAGCTATTACGTATATATTTGAGTGTTTGATCTCTGAAAGTTGTAGATATAAATTGCAACAGTAGTTTCATTCCATCTCATTAATGAACACTGCCAAAATATTTAATTAAAACAATGGTACTCACTTATCCTGTTTAGTTTAAATCCTGACAATTCGTTGAGGAAATCCGTTTTAGCTGGCACTGATAATATTTTTGTTAAGCTAGGATATTCATAAATTTTGAACAATATATCCAGATGTTAGGCTTCACTTGTTTCGTGCTGAAACATAATTAATATTTTTAGGTTGTGTCCCCGACAAACATTTCACAAACACACTGGCTTGTCGGTTGTTATGTTATGGGAAATAAAAACTTTTAATTGGATGTTATAAACAAAACTTTTTCAAAAAATAAGCGAAAGGGAAATTTTATATTTCCCTTTCGCTTATTTCGCTTCAGAGATTTCAAATAAAAGTAAACAGTGAAATAAGCAATATATGTATAGGTACAATCCGCAAACAAAGTTACTCTACCAAGAATCTTTCTTGATGTATGGAAAAACTTTAAAACTCAAAGTATGAATACATTTTCTTATTCTTTATGTGTTTGATATTCCAATTCTTTACGGCTTGGAATGTTTTTGAGTATGTTTAAAGAATACTTGAAAGGATTTTTAAAGGAAGTTATATCAAATTAAAATACACTCATATAATCGAATTATTCCTGTATAACCTTTTGTAATTTTTCTACTGTGTACATAAAAATTTATAAATTGGGCTATTTAAAAATCTTAATTATCAATTCATCTTAAATCTAGTTAAGTCAATTAATAATGTAAAAAGAAATTAATTTAATTAATTTTCATGCCGATGGCGATAATTGCATTTACAACACGGTATTATTCTATTAGCAGTTTATGACTGTTCTTTAAATTTAGTAACACCCTGTGACGGCCTAGGCCGAGGTTCGAGTCTCGCAAGAGACAACGTTGCGCTAGTCGTGATATAGTCCATTCCGCCCTAAACAGTCGGAGCTGAGTTGAGCTCTAGGGGAGATTCCATTAAAAAATAACTACATTCAGACAGGCCATCCCATGGTAACTGACATGGTACTATCTAGGCATCACACTCGATATTGCCATATACTTTAGGGTAATAAGCAGCCGCCTTTGTCGCCAATACTGCCCGATCTGATCTGTCAAGACCCTTTTTTAGACATTCCATTAAAAACCAAACAAATAGTTTTTCTGATTTATGGAAGTATGTTATATAATCTCTAAGCTCCCTTGGAAGTCCGTGAGAAGAGATTTTCTAATATTATTATATTAATATGCCGTAAAAACTTTTGCTACACTTCTTTTGCTGTTTTTATTATTGACTTTTTTATATTAATTATATTGCAGAAATGCGCTCACTATCCAAGAATATGCTGATTATACGTGAGAACGCGATTCTCGCCCTGGATATTACATTTACAATGTTATTAAAATGCAAATTATTTTTTTCTGTTTGACTACATTTTAACAACAATAATCCTGATTAAAAGTAGAACACAATAATCCTCACGCAGAAGCTAACATCGTTGTAATTTCATATTTTATTTGCTATTTATAATAGTCAGTTCATATTAAGTTAAGAACTTTAATCCAACTTAACAATTTATACAAAAACACTTATTAAATTCGTAAGCTACACTAAAAATTTCATAAGAAGCACTGGAAATTCAGGCACACACCGGAACTGCTTAATGCAAACAGAAGGAATCTTTATTAAGTTTTGCGATTCAGGACAAAGAGGTGAATGTAAATTCGTGTAGTGTTAAAGATATAGGTCAAAGAAACTCCGAGTTGAGGATACAGAAGAACGCATAAATTATATTTTATACTAAGTTTTGGAATTAAGTAGTATTTTAAGCTTGAAGCGTGGAGCTTAGGGAGCGCGCTTTTCATGATTTTGAATTATAAGTACTTAGTTTTGTGCGTGTTTGTGTTAATATATTTTTTTGGAAAGTTTTCCCAATGCTTTATTTATTATTACGTGAGTGCATATTCATTCAATATTAAGAATAAATTTATATGTTAATTTTAGCAATCTTTTTATTATTTCAAATTTAGAGAATATAAAAACTATATGAATTTTAATCTCGCGGACCCGACAGACGTTGTCCTGTAGTGTGTACAGGTGTACCTAAAATTAAATTATATTAAATAAAATCATCGAATTTTAAATCTAAACCATTCTCGAATTTAACACACACATATTTCATCAAAATTAGAAGAAATTAGAAGAAATTTTTCAACAGTGGATCACATACATTCGCTAGAGATGTTGATAGAAAAATACCAAGAGTTCAAAAGACCACTCTATATTGCCTTTATCGATTACCAAAAAGCGTTTGACTCTCTGTTCCATTCATCAATTTGGGATACGCTACTCTCTCAAGAAGTACCACTAGACTATATAAAAGTCATAAAAAATATCTATGATAACAGTACTAGCAGAGTCAAGCTAGAGACTACAGGACCACCCATACAAATAAGCAGAGGTGTACGGCAGGGAGACCCACTCTCGCCAACTATCTTCATAGCGGTGCTACAGGCCATCATTGGTAAACTAGTTTGGGAAAAAGTTGGCATAAATATAAAAGGACGTTACTTGAGCCATTTAAGATTTGCTGACGATATAGTCCTGCTCTCAGAAAATACAAACCAACTACAAGGAATGATTAACGCTCTACACGAAGAAAGTCGTAAAGTGGGCTTGGAAATCAACCTAACAAAAACTAACGTCATGACGAACCATACTGAAAGACCAATATACCTGGAAAACTCACCCCTAACATATGTAAACGCCTACATTTACCTGGGAAAGCAAATTTCATTTAGCCAAAAAAACAACGAACAAGAAGTAGAGAGAAGAATCAACATCACATGGAAAAAGTTCTGGAGCTTCAAAGAAATACTCAAAAGTAAAATGACTATACGAATGAAAACGAAAGTTATGAACACCTGCCTACTGCCCTCATTAACATACGCCTGCCAAACTTGGAAATTTACTAGAAAAGTAAAAAATAAAATTATATCCAGCCAAAGGAGTATGGAGAGGAGCATTCTGAAATTAAGGAAAATCCAAAAGATCCGCCACACTCATATAAGACAGAAAACTCAAGCCATTGACGCCCTCAATTACTCACAAAAGCTCAAATGGCGATGGGCGGGTCACGTAGCGAGGCTAAGCGATAATAGATGGACAAGAGAGACAACACAATGGACAGGCCCACTAGGACAAAGAAAGAGAGGAAGACCAAAAGCACGCTGGGTAGACGACATCACAAAAGTGGCAGGCACTCATTGGTTACGAGCGGCAGAGAACAGAGAATACTGGTCTTCTCTGGAGGAGGCCTTTACCTTTCATGGAGAGGGTTCTTGCTAAAAAAACATTAAATTAAGTATTGTTATGAAATTGTAATACTTATAGAAAGCAAGAAATAAAAGGCTTTTTATTTTTTATTTTATTTTTATTTATTTATTATATTTCATCAAAATGGGTCTTAATTTACTAACAAAGATTTGTGTATATATAAAGATTTAAGTTAAGTTAACGCACGAGATATATATATCATAGTCCTTTTTTTTTTTTTTTTTTAATACGAGGTGAAAATGCGCTTACGCAGGCCCGCATCAACGATGTCGAGCTTGACGCGGGGACTGTGGGGCTGGGTCTACACTCAAAACCCTCTGCTATTCAGAGGGGTAGCGAGACCCCACCCACTAAAAACACCTCAGCCCTTCACACGCCCTTAATATGGGCCCTCGGGGTTCGCTAGGCATTCTACCCAAGGGACCCGGGCTTATATCCGACATAGAGGGCTCATTCAAGACCTGCGGTTCCGGGCCACTCGAGGTCGAGCCCCCAGCCTTGAACTACCGGTCAGTCTACGATCATCCCCAGACCTTTCCCTCAATCGCTCAGCTGTCTCCTTCTGCAGCATTACATGCTCACAGAAGGTAACCATTGCACTCCAGGCCTCCTCACTTCCTAACATAGCTAAAATAATACCCGGTTGTAAAATACTCAGAAACACCACCAATAGGTTCACTTTATAAGCGGTACGATCCCCGAACTCAAGTAACGTCCGCACGCTGCGGCGGTAGGCAGTCGACTGACTCCCACTAGTGTGCTTCGGTATACTACATCCCTTCCTTATTAAAATTAATAAAAACTTATCAAATGATTCGAAGATTAACTTTAATTTTGTTTCTTTTACATTTTAGGATGATAAGTCATTAATCTTCATTTTCGTTACCATTTACCCCGTCGTCTGCGTGGTGGTTAATGATTTGCCACTCACCATTTTCAACCCTCTTAAGGTGGACAACATTTCTGCGGTATTCTTTCCCCGTTGAATCATTTCTTACCCTAATGTCTCCACCGTTACATCTGTTACCGTGTGAGACTCTGGACCACAATTAGGAGCCAATTTATTTCCTCTCATCATATTTTGACGTCTAGATTTTCCCCAATTCCCAAATGACTATTCGCCGCTTTTCTCTTCCTATCAGCATATTCCTTTCCTTTTTCTTTATTCTCCCTATCTCTGTCTATAAAATCTGAATATATGACTTTATGTTCCATGTCTGAATTTTATCTCGAAACTGTCTACGAAAGAAGAGTTCAGCCGGGGTTTTTCCTGTTACTGTATGAGGGGTGCTGTTGTACATTACAAGGTTTTCTAGAAGGTCCTCTTTCCAATCCTTTTCACCTACCTTTTTTATTAACCTGTGGCCAATAGGGTATTGTATTGTAAATTACAATCGCGCACTCCTTACAAAACGCTTTGAAATTGTGACTTGTAAATTGATTGCCACTATCGGAAGTTAGGGTTGCAGGATATCCCAATCGAGAAAATAATTCCTTGAGATTTATAATGGTTTCTGTGGCAGTAATGTTCTTAATAATTTTAATCTCCTTATACCTACTGTAGTAGTCTACTAGTATAAGAAGGTAATCGTGGTAATGGTCCCAAAAAGTATACCGCCACATCAAGACAAGGCTCACTTGGAAGGTCTCGTCTTTTAGTTGGATGAGGTTTAGGTGATGAAACCAGCGTACAACCTTTACAGGTTTTAACACGACTTTCAGCATCCCTATCAATTTTAGGCCAACAAACCTTTGTTCTTAGACGACCTTTCATGGCAACAAAGCCAGGATGTCCTTGGTGAGCAGCCTCAAGAACTCGATCACGACGTTGTTTAAGAATAATAAGTTTATTCCCTCTGAGGGCTTTATTACCTAATAGCACTCATTCCACTTATCTTCAAAACACCACTTCTTAATGCTATTATTTCCCTGTCTGTTGCACTGGCTGTTTAAATTTCAACAAGTGGAACTGCTATCGGTCTGCTGTATTCTACAATTGCATTTATGTAGTTTTCATTGTCGAATGGAACTGGGTAGGCAGAGTGGCAAAGGCGTGAAATAGGGTATGCGATGTGCTCTTTCGCTGACCGGTAGACTACTTTATACATGTAAGCCTGCAGCCGCAGAACCCATCGTTCAATGCGTGCACCAGGCTTGGATCTGTTACCGTAGATAGTTTCCAAAGGCTTGTGGTCACTTATGAGCTCAACCTCTTTGCCCAGTAGATAAATCTTAAAATGTTCTACTGCCCATACCAGAGCCAGGCTTCTTTCTCCGTTTGACAGTATCTCTTCTCGCAATCAGTAATACTTTTATTGCCGAACCCAATTATCCGAGGTCCGTGACGATCAATTTGTACGAGCACCGCACCAAGACCAACTGGAGACGCATCTGCTATTATTTGCGTTCTATCCACCGGGTTGTAGTAGCCAAGTGTTTTTAAGTTTGACAGTCGTATCTTGAGGGTCTCAAATGAAGAGTCTTCGAATGAACGTCTGTCCAGTATTTTTAATGTTAGTAGATCTGCTCAATCTAAGTCTTATTATTTGCCGAAGGGGTTATGTAAGTGTTTCTGAATTGGGTATCCATTTACCGACGTATTTAACGAGTCCAAGAAAACTCTGTATCTCTTCAATGTTGGAGGGCTTTTTTGAAGCCTGGATTACTTTAATGTATTTGTCCAATGGCTTTATTCCTTTTTCAGTTAGTAGATGTCCCAGAAATTCAATTTTGTGTGTCGTATCGCAATTTTGTTTGTCGCATCTTGCATTTGTCGTGGTTAAGAAGAACATTAATTATCTTTCAGTATTTGTAACACATTTTCAAGCCGTTTATCGTATTGCAACTCATCAGATCCATGTACTACAATGTCGTCAGTACAATTGGCTGTCCCTTCACAACCGGACAACAATTTCTCCACCCATTTTACAATTATTGATAGTTGTGTCATTATCTATATGGGATACATAGATCCACTTCATCGGTAACTTAGTGTGTTCCTGTATTTATTTTCAGTGTCTTTGTTCCATTGTATTCGTCATTTCGTGTATGTATTTTCCGTTTTTGTACCTTGGTCTTACAATAATCCCTAAAATGACCAACGACTCCACATTTTAAACATTTTTTTTTTTTATCTCTGTCTGGCCAATTATTATCAAATGATAAATGTTTGCTGTTGCCGCAACGAAAACATGTTTTCGCTGAGTTTTGAACCGCACGTAATTTCCTTGCATCTACCCGGTTAATTTCTGAATTTTCGTATCAAACGTTTTACTTGATCCTTGCTTATCAAACGAATCAAACTGTTTGTTAACCGTCTTAAGCGTAATAGCAATTGTAATTACTTGTTGAAGTGTTATCGAATCTCCACCTGTCAGGATTTTCTTCCTTAATTCTGAGCTTCGGGCCTTTTCTACGATTTGGTCTATTAACTGTTCATCTTTAGCTGTAAACTGGCATTTAGGTACCAGCTTGAGTTCGCAACTGTAAAAGGAAAGCTTCAAACCTCTCCACTTCCCCTTGTTTCATTAGTCTAATAATATCGTTCGTAGTATCTGCTTTGTTTTGTTGAAAAATATTCATTTAATTTTTGTATAGCAATTTCATAAACGTCAGCGCCATCGATCTCATCGACATGAGCTCCAGGCAAGTTGTAATACACCTCTTGCAATGCAAGCCCACCAACGTATAATAAAGAAGCTCGCTTTTTAATGCTTGAATCAATATTAGCGACCAAAAATTATATGTCTAGTGCTCTTCTCCATTTTTCCCAACGGATTCCTACTGAGACTTGGTTGCCTTCGCACTCGAAATGATCAAGGCCTGGAAACGCTGGTGTTATCTGAGCCATATCGGAGTGATAACTAGTAGTAACATGTGGTGTCAAAATGCGGAGGGTTGATTGGTTGCGCAGGTACCAGGGCAGGCGATAAAACGCGGTGCGGCAAAAAGTTTACCCTTTTCTGCGCGTAGCCATCGAAACGTACGAACTTGTTCTTCTCAGAACACTTCGATATCGTCTTACGATAACGCTAATAAACTGTTCTTTTCAGAACAATATTATCGTATCTTACGAAAACGTTTAACAACTGTCCTTTTCAGGACATATTACCGTGTCTTACGACAATGATGAACTGTTCTTTTCAGAACACACGACCGTATCTATTCTGATCTGTTCTTGTCAGAACACATCACTGTATCATTATGACACGTTAACTAATCACCTACAGGTTTATACCCGTATAAATATATCTTATTTATTTACGAAACATTCATCACGCATACTTTGCACAATAATCTGATCTCAATATCAATGATTATTGTCACTAAACCAAATACGGTCTAATCTAATAAACCTTACTAATAAAAGTAGTCTATCAAATTGACTTTAAAGCATGTACTCAGAATTAGTCTATCTTATTGACTTAAAGAACGTTTTTCTCTAGTCATATTAGCGGCCTTCACACGTACAGTTCGAACCGTATGAAACAGCCCGCGCCATTCCGATCTGTCGTCCAATCCGTCCGTGTAGACGTGACAAGCGCGTGGTGGTTTGATATTTCGATGCGGCGCATTGGTGTGTGCGAACGTTTGTACAGTTTTATGCGGGTGCCTCGTGTGGATGACAATTATTTCAAAATGGCAGTTTGGAGCGTGGAAGCAGTGACAGGTTTTATAAGGATATATCGGGATATCTTAATGTTGCGGAAAGACGTTCTTCTGGTGTTATGCATTTTCTCATAACTGTATCTTGCTTAGTAATTCTGCGACGGATAAGTTCCAATAAGTAATCAAAATTATCGCCGTCCATCCGTAGGTAATTTTTAAAATCTTCTGGATAGTTTTCTCGTATTTCTTTTAACATGGGTAAATGTCCAAATTTTCGTCTATATTTCTTAACCCATACACGTCTCCTTTTTAGATTATTAAAACCAACCACAAAACCAGCTAACGCGATCACTAGACGTGTATCCATTTCTACTGTACCGGTTAAAACTGAAAGAAAACTTTTAAAATTGGTCGACATTCCACGCGCCATTCCATACTGCGATCTAAACTCTCGAAAAGCATTTATACGTACAGTTTTATCTGCAGGAAAGCGAAATAGACAGTTTGAACCGCAGTTCAAACTGTTATTACAATTGAAGCGTAAAGTAGAAGCACAGATCAGCGCGCGGTCTAGTCTGCACAGATTTATCTGCAGATTGGTGCGCAGTTCCAGAAATGCCATTCCGAACTGCACGTGTGAAGGCCGCTATTGACCTTAACAACATTATCTTAGTCTATCTTATTGACTTTAAGAACGTTTTGGCCTGTCATATTGACCTTAACAACATTATCTTAGTCTATCTTATTGACTTTAAGAACATTTTGGTCTGTCATATTGACCTTAACAACATTATCTTAGTCTATCTTATTGACTTTAAGAACGTTTTGGCCTATCATATTGACCTTAACACCATTCTCTTAGTCTATCTTATTGACTTTAAGAACGTTTTGGCCTATCATATTGACCTTAACACCATTCTCTTAGTCTATCTTATTGACTTTAAGAACGTTTTGGCCTATCATATTGACCTTAACACCATTCTCTTAGTCTATCTTATTGACTTTAAGAACGTTTTGGCCTATCATATTGACCTTAACACCATTCTCTTAGTCTGTCTTATTGACTTTAAGAACGTTTTGGCCTATCATATTGACCTTGCAAAACCACTATCTTTCATATTGATCATGGCTTCTAATGGTAAAGACCTATCTTATTGGCCGTGATAGAAAACATGGGTCTCTCAAATTGACCTCACAAAACATCGATCTTTCATATTGATCTAACCATTGCTATCTACTAATCGTCAAGACCTATCATATTGGCCGTGATAGCAAAACATGGGTCTCTCAAATTGACCTCTCAAAATATCGATCTTTCATATTGATCTAACTATTGCTATCTACTAATCGTCAAGACCTATCATATTGGCCGTGATAGCAAAACATTGGTCTCTCAAACTGACCAACCAACCATTGTAACTGTAACTAGAACGTGTATGAGAAATACAAAATCAGGCCCAAATATGTACCTAACATATTTGGTATTTTATGACACTTAGTCAACACCTTCTTGTAGCAGCGCTTGTTTGTTTTATTTCCTTTTATAATTGCTTGCTTATCAAACGAATCAAACTGTTTGTTAACCGTCTTAAGCGTAATAGCAATTGTAATTACTTGTTGAAGTGTTATCGAATCTCCACCTGTCAGGATTTTCTTCCTTAATTCTGAGCTTCGGGCCTTTTCTACGATTTGGTCTATTAACTGTTCATCTTTAGCTGTAAACTGGCATTTAGGTACCAGCTTGAGTTCGCAACTGTAAAAGGAAAGCTTCAAACCTCTCCACTTCCCCTTGTTTCATTAGTCTAATAATATCGTTCGTAGTATCTGCTTTGTTTTGTTGAAAAATATTCATTTAATTTTTGTATACCAATTTCATAAACGTCAGCGCCATCGATCTCATCGACATGAGCTCCAGGCAAGTTGTAATACACCTCTTGCAATGCAAGCCCACCAACGTATAATAAAGAAGCTCGCTAAACTCTCGAAAAGCATTTATACGTACAGTTTTATCTGCAGGAAAGCGAAATAGACAGTTTGAACCGCAGTTCAAACTGTTATTACAATTGAAGCGTAAAGTAGAAGCACAGATCAGCGCGCGGTCTAGTCTGCACAGATTTATCTGCAGATTGGTGCGCAGTTCCAGAAATGCCATTCCGAACTGCACGTGTGAAGGCCGCTATTGACCTTAACAACATTATCTTAGTCTATCTTATTGACTTTAAGAACGTTTTGGCCTGTCATATTGACCTTAACAACATTATCTTAGTCTATCTTATTGACTTTAAGAACATTTTGGTCTGTCATATTGACCTTAACAACATTATCTTAGTCTATCTTATTGACTTTAAGAACGTTTTGGCCTATCATATTGACCTTAACACCATTCTCTTAGTCTATCTTATTGACTTTAAGAACGTTTTGGCCTATCATATTGACCTTAACACCATTCTCTTAGTCTATCTTATTGACTTTAAGAACGTTTTGGCCTATCATATTGACCTTAACACCATTCTCTTAGTCTATCTTATTGACTTTAAGAACGTTTTGGCCTATCATATTGACCTTAACACCATTCTCTTAGTCTGTCTTATTGACTTTAAGAACGTTTTGGCCTATCATATTGACCTTGCAAAACCACTATCTTTCATATTGATCATGGCTTCTAATGGTAAAGACCTATCTTATTGGCCGTGATAGAAAACATGGGTCTCTCAAATTGACCTCACAAAACATCGATCTTTCATATTGATCTAACCATTGCTATCTACTAATCGTCAAGACCTATCATATTGGCCGTGATAGCAAAACATGGGTCTCTCAAATTGACCTCTCAAAATATCGATCTTTCATATTGATCTAACTATTGCTATCTACTAATCGTCAAGACCTATCATATTGGCCGTGATAGCAAAACATTGGTCTCTCAAACTGACCAACCAACCATTGTAACTGTAACTAGAACGTGTATGAGAAATACAAAATCAGGCCCAAATATGTACCTAACATATTTGGTATTTTATGACACTTAGTCAACACCTTCTTGTAGCAGCGCTTGTTTGTTTTATTTCCTTTTATAATATAATAAAAGCGATTATCAAATTGTGAACAATATAATTATGAACAATATAATAAAAACAACAAGCGCAGCACACAGGTGCAAACTCGTGACTCATTGTTACTAACGCGCATTATTTCGTTTGGCAGGTTGGCCGGTACTTATTTTATGAAACCTTTTCGTTTGTTGACAATATAAAAGACTGATAAAACAGTCACGGTCCAACATTATATAAAAACAAACTTACATTTCTCTTTCACACGCGTTCCTTCCTTACATACCATGTTTCCTTATGTCTTTCAAAACTTACATTTTCCGTCGTCGCCACTTGTAAAATACTCAGAAACACCACCAATAGGTTCACTTTATAAGCGGTACGATCCCCGAACTCAAGTAACGTCCGCACGCTGCGGCGGTAGGCAGTCGACTGACTCCCACTAGTGTGCTTCGGTATACTACACCGGTAAAGAGAGGTCCGACCCTATGACCGATACCAGGTCATGACGCTCCCTTGTCCAGGTGACACACTCAGCCACAGTATGCTCCGCCGTGTCATTTGGAGCGCCGCAATGGTGGCACAACGGATGCACCTCCCTTCTAGGCACCTTATGCAGATACCGCCCAAAGCATCCATGGCCAGACAGTACCTGCGAAAGCCGAAACGTCAAAGCACCCCAACGCCTATTCACCCAGTCTTTTAAGACTGGGCGAATTGCCCCTATTGTCAATGCACCAGCGCGGGGCGTTGCTAGATCGTCAAACCACCTTTCGAAAAGAATTTCTCTGGCATGACGCCTCATATGCCCCGCTATTTCCCCCCACGTGACGTTCCCGTTAACTATTACCTCAGCCTTCGCACGGTATAAGGCAGCGATAAGTTCCACCTCCCGCTCCCAAGGAGGAGTACCAGCTAACACACAGGCCGCCTCGAACGATACGGTACGGTAGCAGCGAGCTGCCCGAACCGCAATCACTCGTTGCGGCCTCCGTATAAGCATACGGTTCGTCCGCCTGATCAGCGCGTCGTCCCAAATGGGGGCCCCGTACAGGGCCATACTGCGAATGATTCCGCAGTACAGCCGGCGCACGCTCTGGCATGGGCCTCCAAGATTAGGCAAGAGCTTGCCAAGTGCTCCTGCTGCCCTAACAAGTCTCCCCTCGAGAGATTTAAAATGGGGCTCGAAATTCCAGCGACCATCTAGAACAAGACCAAGATACTTCATGGAGGAGGCCACTGAAATCCTAACGCCTTCAACCACCAATGCCGCCCCCGAAGGAGGACCCATCCTCGGGCCATGAAATAGCAGGGCTTCCGTTTTGTCAAGGGACACCCTGAGACCCAGGGCTTGGATCCGACCAACAACCAGCCTAGTACCGGCCATCGCAAGCTGAGCCACCTCCCCAAATGACCCTCCGCTCGCCACGACTAGAGTGTCATCTGCATAGCAGAAGAGGCGCATCCCAGGAAGCAGTGCACCTCGCAGCACCCAATCATAGCTAATATTCCACAGAAACGGTCCCAGAACTGATCCCTGTGGAACCCCGCACAACACCGGATGGCGAACGATTTCACCCTGTCCGTTCACAACTGCCACCTGTCGTCCTTCCAAATAGCTCCCTACTATTCGGCGCAAGTACAGGGGAACCCCGAAAAATTCAAGGGCCTCCCTGATCACGCCAAATGGAAGGCTATTAAAGGCATTAGCAATGTCAAGAGACACTGCCAACGCCCTCCCACCCCGCTCGAATATATCATAGTCCTGGTTTGACTCAAGCTAAAATAACTTATTTGGCTTGGTACGCAAAAAAAGCAATTTTTCAGTTACAATTTTTTGAAAGTTCTTAATCTATTTCATAATAAATTCAAAATTCTATTATATATGCCTCTCAATTTGTTAAACAGCTATGTCAGCTTCGAAAATGTAAGTGGCAATAAGCCTCCGAAATCCTAATGGAACATGAATCTTCGGAGATCTAAGCTACTTGAAAGTGATGGACTATTTTGTGACACTAAATATAGAACTTTCGAATCTTGTTAAAGCGCTGAGGGAATCTAACATTAATGAATATTTGAAACTTCTGTATGAAAATAAACACATTGCCAAAATTAATGTGTCTCTTTACATAAAAAAATTGCCATTCTGAAGAATAAGGATTGTCTAACGAATTATGGTACCGACTTCATAAATTTATCTAATAAGATCATTATGGCCCTTTTATATAAAATAACTAATTAACACAAAAAAACTTAACTTCGATTTTGTTCCCTTTGGAGTAGACTCTTGGGCCGTGGTTCAAGTGCACAGGGCCTAATTAAAGATTTAAGTTGGTGCCTGGTAGATAGTACCGGCGACCCTAGAGCTGGTGCTTTCCTCGATCAATGAATAAGTATCGCAATACAGCGAGGTAATGCTGCCAGCGTTAAAGGTACGCTGCCACAGGGACCAACCTTTTTAAATTTGTTTTAATTTTCTTTTTATTAATTTTTCTTTTTTATTATTATTACGATGAAGGTTAAGAAAATTGTATATACTGTATATTTGATTGTTATGTTCAGGTTTTATTTAAATAAAATTAAAACTTTACACAATTTATTATCTTACAAATACACAGTTAATACGAAAAATAAATCTTGTTATTTAAAACTTTTTACCGAATTTTGGAGTCGGGTAAGTGATTTTTAAAAGCCATTTTTTATGTGTATAGTGTAATTTTCAATGATAATAACAAATTTATATGAACAAAGGACAAATAAGCAGTGTAATAAGAATTACTTTTTCAAAGAGTTAAGAGAGAATCAACCTTGAACAAAATCTCAATATTAAAGTCGAGATTGCTATTGGTAGTTGCAGAGTACCGGTGCTGCCTTGCGATTCTGTAACTCACTTTTCGAATTCACACAGCGGTTTTCGCAGCGGCGGTCGCGCTCAAATCAATCGTAAAGCAGTCATTTTACGATTTGGCATTTTGATAAATAATAAACTACAAGCTCCCTCCTTATTACAGAATCGCAAGGCTGTACAGTACTCTATGGTATCAATTACATTATGATGCGGACTGTGCATATAGGTCGAGAAAACTTGGAACACGTCCAAGCTTAAGGGTTGATTGTAGGACTTCACTCGACTTAAACAAAACTTTACATTTTCTAAAGCTTTTTAAATTCTTTGCTTACATTTTAAAAATATTTTACGTGAACGGCTGAATGGCGGAGATGTAAATTGGAGATAATCCAGGTTTTATTTCTTTTAAAGATAACAAATCGTAGTAATACTTTAATAATACTACTTTGGACTACATCTAATATATAAAATTCTCGTGTCGCGCTGTTTGTGGTTAAACTCCTCAGAAACGGCTTGACCGATTCTCATGAAATTTTGTGTACATATTGGGTATGTCTGAGAATCGGACAACATCTATTTTTCTTCCCCCTAAATGTTAAGGGTAGTCCACCCATAAATTATTTTTTTAATTTTTAGATAATTTTATTTTTTTTACTTTTTTATGATACAGCATTAAAAAATACATACAACCCCTAATTTTCACCCCTCTACGATCCACCCCTATTTTTTATCATAAATGATATACATGGCAAAACGACGTTTGCCAGGTCAGCTAGTATTATTATATATTTCATATATTTCTTTGTACGTGGGTCACAATGAAAATGTTTCTAAGTGGCCAGTTAGAAACATTGCTAATGTAAAGTTTTTTTGGATTTCAATTTTAGAACTCTTTGGTGACCTAATGTAGTATATTGCGTTCATTTGTTATTTGTTTTTGTGAATTGGCGGCAAATCTTTTGTTACACGTACAAAATGAACCTAACGCGAGAAAATTTTCGGTCAATGATTTATTATGACTTTCGTTGTGGGCTTACTCAATTACCAAGCTATGATAGGCTGCGATTAGCATTTCTTAATGAAGCCCCATCTCTTGCCACTATTTACAATTGGTTTAACGAGTTTAAGCGTGGACGCAGCAATCTCAATGATTTAACAGAGACTACTGAACGGAGATAACTTAACTAAAAACAATAAAAGTATTGGCAACTTTCTACATTAAGCTGTTTTTCATTTTCTAAACATTTTCAGTGTTACCTAGGTATATGCAGCAATGTTAGTTGTGGTTAAGATTTTCCCACTTGGGGTCGTGCGTTTTAAGCCCAATAGACCAATAAACTTTTATATATGTGCTAATGTAAAAACCGACGAAATATCTGAAAAAATTAAAGTAAAGAAATTTTGTCTTTAATGTTTTTAAAATTAAAAACCTCAACATATTTCTTTTGTATATAATTTGAATTTCCTTTAAAAGCAAAATTCACAATCGTAAGTATATGAAATATCCATAAATCAGGCACTTTCAATTGAATAAAGAACAGAGTCACTCTCGTTCGTGCGATATAATCGTTCACTCCAATCAATTCGTTTGAATGATAAATGATGCTCCGAAGATCTGAGACACTTTTTTAATTACGTACGCAAATTTTATTCGCTTTTATATTCTTTTTTTATTGGATTTTTATTATAAGCAAGTTTCTGGGACATTGTATATTGATCATTTTTTTTCTTGCGTGCTTGAATCACACATTCAGTTACTCCTCTGGCTCTGCGATCCGAAAAGTGTCTTGGCTTCAGAAATGAGAAACTTTCAGCGCTCTATGTCTTGTGCCACCCGCCAATCAATTGCTGGCTTTCAGCTGCAGTAGGTCCTCCTCTACTCTATCGATCCAGCGGTACCTAGGCCGACATACTGGTCTCCGACCACTAGCACCGCTTAAGAAAGATTCCTTTAAATGAATAAATCTAGACGAAGGTAGGCTAAGAGACTGTCAACTGTCGAAGGTAAAGCGTTATAATCCCAGTTCTGCACCAATATATTCAACTATGCAAATTGTTAATATGATGAAGGAAAAAATTGCGAGGAAACCAGTATAACTTAGACCCAAAATCCTGGGACGGCCTGTGACACGTAGAGGGCTCATCCTAGAGTATAGATTTTTAAATGTAACCTCAAAGAAACGGTTACATGTTGTTCGCATTAATACCTGTAGCTGAGTTTCGTCGTGAGACGTCGAGGCAAAAAACGAAAATCCACACGGATCACGTTGCCGTCCGTGGTTCCCGAACTTATTCGACTTCCAGAAAAGTGCGCACCGCTCCATGGGCACTATATATTTAACTACTAGCACTGACTAACACAGTATAAAGTAGTAATAAACCATCATAATTCAGTAAGAAACTAGTATTTTATTAGTTTATAGTTAATATATTCTATAGATTTTATAACAAAGGATCAATGCGGCCACAAAACTGTCGCCACACAGCGCACGTGTAGCATACAGAACAATATAAAACTTATATAAAATGCAGTTACCGCGAATTGTATTGTTGAAAATATTTCACACTGTTGTGTGGAATACTAATGTATGGGAAACTTTCATTATGATGTTTCTATTGAGAATTAAGAGCTAAGGAAAATGCTACTGCAAAACCTACCTTTTGTGTTTAATGCTGGGACTATTAAAATGTTCCAGCCAGCATTGCTTAGTAGTGAACGCCCGTGGTCAGTTATTTAAGTTTGTTTCGAGACAATCATTGTTCCTGATTGGTAGGTAAGACACTAACAAAACTCTCTCAGCGTAGATTTGATTTTATCTATGTGATGCTTGAATTAAAAACAATAATTATGTTGTTATGGGTTATTATTATTAAATAACACAAAATAAGCTCATATTAAGATATTTATAAAGGGTATTAGATTCTATATACATAGATAAACCACAATGAGGTTGCTAGCACAATACAATAATAATTATAAACTAAATTAAATCTTATAATTATCTTAAATTATTAAAAGTGGGCGCCAATGGTAATGTTTACCACATAATACAAATTGTTAATTAAGTATTCTATATTTGGATACCTAATTTGAAGGCATTTCCCAAAGCTAAAAAAAATAAAAAAGATCAGATAGCTTCACAACAAAATAAATAATTAAAGAAAACATATCCCTCAACAAAGTTATAACTGAAAAAATCCAAAATTTAATATCATAAGACACAATTTATGACTCAAAAGTGCATACACGGTTTTGTCCCTACCCTCATCCTAGTACTCGTATACTGTATTTATCCTTCACTATCAATTTAATGTTTGACGCTTATCAAAAACACAATACAATATAAATACAACTCGATACAAAAAAGTCACTTCTATCTTTTGCCTAATTTTTATTCAATCAGAGTATTGTGGAGCCAAAAAATCATTGAATTAGAGCATATTAAGTTGGCTGAGGGCTGTTACTGCTTAATTTTATTAAATATTCTATATTTTTGTTACAGTGTTAACTGTTTATAACGTCATTATTTATGACGAAGGTCTCTATATAACGTAAATATGAGTTAAATTGGTTTGGTTTATTACAAAACCCATACATTAATTCACTCTTTATAATGCAACGGCCATTCTATATTACGAAGAAATATTTTCACATTTAGACATCAACGACATACTTAAGTGTAATTGTTTTTATAATCAGCTTACAAAACTAATGTATTGAGGTGCCGAAATTTTTAAGAAAGACACCTGAGGTCATAATCAGCCTTCTCGCCTTTGTTATTGTTAATTGCATTAACACGTGTATGGCACACATATTCTTAGATTACATTGCCTGTAGGAAGGTTTGGGCTCAGTTACTAAACGCACCATGGGCACTTATCTATTATATATATAAATTATTGTAATTGGTTAAATTTGTATTTTTTCTCTTCCCTCCATATAACGAAAACTCTCTATAATGAAAAAAATGCTCGGTCCTTTGAAATTCGATATAAATAGTTTACACTGTATATAAATAAAAAGCCTGGCGTTTACTTCATTTTAGTTCCGCCAAACACTGCACCGTCCGTCTCATCTCACGCTTTTGGATTTGGTTTTTTACCATAGTTTCCTATTACCAAGGCAATTCGCACCCCAAGATCTATCAGTTTCATGAATTTATAATAAAGGACAGTACAAACTTACAACATGTATATTGCTATAAATGTGTGTTTGTACCTACCTCCGAGGAATGCTTTGTAAGGAAATGATAAACTCTACCGACACTTTCAAACAAGCGTCTTATATTACAGAGTTTAATGTTATTTCGTAACTTCTCTTAAAAAGATATTTCAATCCTTTCAATATATAATTGTAGTTTTATAATTTTTTATGAGGGTTAACTAAAATATTTTAACTCGGCTGATCGTCACACTTTTTAATGGACTCAGTGCCTTGTTTCACTCGAACTGTGATGGACGCGTTTTTTTAATTAAGTACCTTTTTGTTAATTATATTTGTTAGTTGTTATGTACTTAATTTTATAATTTTGTAGTGAGGGTTTTGTAACTATTGTAGGGCAAGGTATCAGTCTAACCTTTCTTATTGAGAGAGTAAACCCAAACTTATAAAATTCTCCATAGCCTTACGACTGACAATTGTGTGCCTCTGTGTGTGTTTCTTCTTGTTAAGGATATATCGAAACGAGGTTTAACTCAGGACTTATTATTTATCGATCGGTAATCCCAAATTCAAACTAAACTTACTTACTAAGTAGGTAACAAGTACACTTCGATCGCAGTAATTAATGTTCATTACAAAACAAGTTGTTAGATACACAAATCTATAACTAATTTATTAGACAACAAGTACCAATGTTTTGTTTAATATCAGAAATAATATGACATATACATATTATTAAGAAATAAAATCGATATATTCAGTTGAATTTATTGACCCGGAAAAGCATTATTAATAGCAAAAATAGTTCACTGCGGTTCATTTGTGGTTTGAAAGTGTATTATTTTAATGAATTCCGTTACTTACATTGATAATTTAAAACATGGGTAAGTGTAATTAATTTAAATGACAGAAGTGACCTGTTTTTTGGTGTAAAATATTTGTTTCATTTTTTTATACACAATTTTAGCATAGTAGAACTATACTGTACACATTTAATTATAGGTTATTTTAAGTAATATAATCGTAATAAATTTAATAACATTGTTCATGTATCTCGGTGTTTCAATTTAAGATTTGCAATATTATGTAGTTATGTGCTCAGCAAGGCAAGACGGTACTTCACTCGGGGCCACTGTTTGCAACTGTATAACGCGTAAATTCGGTACAACATTGAGTACTGCTCTCACCTCTGGACTGGAGCTCCCCAGTACCAGCCCCTTCCACTTGACCGTATTCAACGAAGAGCGTCTCGAATCGTCGACGACCACGTCCTTTCCGAGCGGCTTGATCCCTTGGCGGTGCCTAGAGATGTGGGGTCACTCTGCTCATATTACCGCATTTACCATGGAGAGTGTTCAGCAGCTGAGTTTCATCATCGGACGTCGAGGCAAGATACGAAATACCACCCATATCACCTTAACGTCCGTCGGTCCTCATCTGAGCGTTTTTAAGGTAGTTTTTGCCGCGCACCACCACTATGTGGAACCAGCTGCCCACTGAAGTATTTTCGAACCAATTCGACTTAGTGTCTTTCAAGAAAAGAGCGTACCAATTCTTAAAAAGCCGGCAACGCCACTCAATTCGCGTGTCCATGGGCGGCAGGATTCACTTAACATCAGATCCCATCACAACCCTTTTTTTAATGATTTTAAAATGCGTTTACGCAGACCCGCGCCATGGTAGTCGAGCTTGACGCGGCGATTGTGGGTCTCCACTCAAAGACATCTGCTATTCAGAAGGGTCTTGCTATCCGCAAGACCCTTCCCACAAAAATCCTCAGCCCTCCACTTCCTTAAGATGGGCCCTCGGGGTTCGCCAAGACAGTCAACCCAAGGGACCTGGGCTTATTCAAATTTCATATAGGTAACACAATGACTTATGAACGTCAAAAAAAATATATGAAATGCTTCTAATTTTACATTTACTGCCAGTTCTCAAATCAAAGGCGTAGAACGGAAGAGAAGAGCTGGCAATAAACTCCCCGCCACCCTTTTCAATCATTAAGTTTTTTGTTTTATTTTTATATCTGACAGAGCTCAATCAAGACCCAATCTTACTTCGTCTAAGGCCTCATTTAAATTTAATCTATTTCTCCTCTTTAGATTTGACTTAATCGTTGTTGATTTTATTTATTGGTTTTGAACAAAAGCTTGTCCTTAACTCTATGGAGTCTATTAAAATATAAACAGGATAACATTCATACTTTTTAATGGAATTAATTGAAAACCTCTTAATAGTCTTAAATTACGATTTAAACGTTATTTGAATTAATTAAATTGAATTACGCGATAAGCTATCCTGTTAACAAATAATTTGAAAGGGAAAATTCCGTCTAATAATTCTCATCGTTATTATAGATATTGTATGGGATCCAAAATTTTAACAAAAGTATTATTGAAATTTGTCTCAATATTTGCGTTTCGTCCGGGAAAATTCAATGTCCTTTGAAGATAATTTTGGATTTAACATGATTTGATTATCAAATTCAACAAATTCAGTTAGGGAAACTTCAATAGATTTCTCCAGTAGAATTAATTGTTACACGTGTTTTATTTAAACATTAAGTATAAAGAACCAGTAGCGGTACCTTTTAGGCCTAGGCCTCATTTCTGTATCCGTTTCATGATCGTTATTTTCCTAAGAAGCGAGTAGATGATCTCTGTGGGTCCTTCTTTTCTTGAGGGTCCTTCGTGAAAAGAGCGTACCAATTATTAAAAGACCGGCGCTTGTGAGCCTTCTGGTAGTGCGAGTATCCATGGGCGGCGGTATCACTTAACATCAGATGAGCCTCCTGCCCGTCTGCCTCCTGTAACTTAAAAAAAAGTGTAAAATGCGTAGGTAACCTTTGGTGCAAAGCCAAGATTTGAACCAGCGATGAGAATTGCATGCTCAAATCACAAGGCCACTATCGTAAGGCATTATATGTAGAGCTCGGGGAACCGGTCGTAAACCAATTGACCTGTAACAAGTTCCAGCCCAGAAAAATGAAAAATGAACAAAATCCGATTTTAATATTATTACAAAACCTTTGACCGGATATCCGGAAATTTTATCTGAAACAACGTTATAAACCCAGGTCACCACTGAAACTGTTAATTCTATTTCACGAGTTAACCGAACAATTGAAACGAAACAAAACGCCAAAGAGTAGTTTGAAACGGAA